AATACACACACATACAGTATATATTTTGAAAATATTTACATGTATATACATTTATATTATATATAAATATATTTAATACATAAACATAACATTTTTCTTAAATATATACATGCATGTGTTTGTATTTATATATACATAATAAATATACACAGTGTACACACATATATTATGTAAACAAAAACGTTTATCTTGGATGTGATTAATCACAATTAATCGTTTGACAGCACTATAATGAGTGTTTTTGGGTTCAGTCAATATTGCTAATTTTAATCACCCTATCTTATTATACTGTATTTTGGTAGATTTTCAGAGAAAAATAGCATATTCTATGTTAATAACACATGCTATGTTCATAAACATATTTACCCAAAGTACAGCATCAGAAATGGTTCTTGGCCTCCATGAGTCAGATATTGTCCTTGGGACAGGTTGATCATCACAGATCATCTGATCAACACCAGACGTCTGATCTCAGACTGATCCGAGCAACACATCTGACCTCAACAGGCAACATTTCAGTCTCGTATTAAACATTTTTCCACTCTGAATGGCTATGGTGTGACCGCCCGTGCCATTTTGTGCACTCCTGGGGAGTTTTCATACATCTATGAAGGCAAACATGAGAGGAAGTTTGCTTTTATGTTATATAGATATGCTGTTGAAAGTGTGATCCTGCATCACTCACCCTCATGGCTGTGGATATCCAGGGCAGAAAACGTGACACACGCATGTAGACGCCAGGCTTTTTGGCCATGGCACAGCCTGTGCCCCAGCTCACCACCCCCAGCAAACGATAGCGGCTGGTCTTAGACAGGACATCCGCTGCTACGAAAGGACCACCGCTGTCCCCCTGACATCATATGAGAGACAGTATCTCATATCACTTCATAATTCCACACAGCCACACCATGCACATTAGTTATGAATGTCGCCCTCTAGTGGACATGTGCTGCTCCGTCCACTGGACTGATGATGTCAGAGCTGAGTGGCAGATACCTGGCAGGAGTCGGTTCCTCCTTTCTCATAACCGGCACAGAACATGGTGGTTGTAACCTGGTTGTCATAATAATCCGGGCCATTGCACACCGCATCACTGATGATGGGCACATGGGCTTCCTGGAGGACGTTGGCTTGAGTGCCTGCAAGAAATCAAGTGACATGAGAAGGAGGGGGCGTTTGTGCGAAACTGAAACTTTTCTGAAAGTCTCTAGAATCCTTAAAGGAATATTCATAATTTTTTCAAACTAATGTCTACTGTTCACTTCATGTCATGTTGGAATTATCATATTTAAACGGACAGCACAACCCAAAATGAAAATTGTGTCATCATTTACTCACCCTCACTTCATTCCAAATCTGTACGACTTTCTTTCTTTGATGGAACATAAAAGTTACTTTGAAGAATGTTGGAAAAATAAAGTCATACAGGTTTGGAATAACATGAGGATGAGTAAATGAAGTCAGAATTTTAGTTCTTGGGTGCACTATGACTTTAAAAGCATTGCAATTTGTTACAAAATTACATTTACTATTATAAAAAGCAATTAATCACAGTGTGTTGCATTGTCCCTTTTTATGGCAAGTAACTTTTGCTTTAGTTTTTCTCACTGTTGGGATATAATACAATAAAAATTTAAAATTGTGAATTTTGTTTCTTTTGAGTGACATACATCCAGCTAACAGGAAATGTTCTCAGAACTTTGCTTTTTGCAAAATTTTCTCAAAATTATGAACAAATGTTCTTCCAGTAACGTTAGTAGAACATTTGTTCAAAATAGGTCTTTAATAACATTCTCAATATGTTATTGTCAATATTCATGGAACTTTTTTCCTGAAACATTTTATTTGAATGTTCGTCTAACGTTTTTTAAATGTTACTACTTGTGTCAGATTGTTCAGTCAACATTCCCATAATGTTTGCAAAATAATAATCCTTTAATGTTTTTGCTAATGCATAGCCAAGAAAAAAAAAAAAAAAAAAAACTGGACGTTTTGAACATTAAGAGAACATTAAAAAAAAAACTTTTTGGAATTAAGTTAAAATATGTGTTTTTTAGCTGGGAATGCATATATAACTAACCAAGACCATTCTTGACATGACATGAGGGCAGCCAATGCATCACATTCTTATTGACATGTCAAAGTCTAGACCCTGAATATAAGACGACCGCGTTTTTTCAGATGTATTTCCAAGAAAAAAACATCGTCTTATATTCGGAACAATACGGTACTACACAGACAACAATACATGACCCTCAGTGTTTATGAATAAACAGGAAATGTGTTTACAGTAAATTAAGGCTTAGCAGGTAAGTGGACAGAGTCATGAATAAACATTTAAAACATGCAACTTTTCTAAAAAGTATAACTATATTTTGTACAATTTCCTAAAAGTATAACCATCATAACTGAAACGATGCAGTGCTACTATTGTATACTATTATAGTATTTAGTCATATTTTAAATGGGCTTTTATTTTTATATTTTCAGTTTTAATTTCAATATTAGTTTTAATTTAATTTAATTTTAGGCTTTAGTAATTTTGTTATGTGCTTTTGTCATTTTTGTTATTTTTTAATAATTCTGTTTAGATTTAATTTATATTTCTTTTTTTAAGTTTTAGGTTTTCATCTAATATTTACAGTATATTTTACTTTATTAATTACTGTATTAATTTAATTAGCAACGTTTTTGTTAAACTTGTGAAAAAGAAGTGCACTTTAACATACTTTAAAAAAAGAGTACTTATTATGGAAATAATATACTTTAAAAGAAAATACGTGCAAATTGAATGTAATGTTTTCAAACTCTTAATTGCATGTTATTTACAATTAACTCATAGATTAATTGTATATTAAATGCAATTAATTAAACTTAAGAGTGCTAAAACTAATTTGACATCATTATAACGTGCACTTTTTAAAAGTGTGCTAAGAAACTCTCTTTAAAGGGTTAGTTCACCCAAAAATGAAAATTCTGTCATTAATTGCTCGCCCTCATGTCGTTTCAAACCCGTAAGACAAATTAAGATATTTTTGATGGAATCGGAGAGCTGTCTGACCCTGCATAGACAGCAACGCAACTGAAATGTTCCCAAGTCCAGAAACGTAGCAAGGAGATCTGTAAAATAATCCATGTGACATCAGTGGTTCAACCGTAATTATACGAAGCTACGATAATACTTTTTTGTGCGCAAGAGAAAAAAAAAACGACTTTATGCAAGACAAGTTGTTGTATAAAGTCGTTATTTTTTTTCTTTTGTGCAGGGTCAGACAGCTCTCAGATTCCATCAAAAATATCTTAATTTGTGTTCCAAAGATGAACGAAGGTCTTACGGGTTTGAAACGACATGAGGGTG